TAACTTAAGACACTTTACTGGTATGTACATAAAGAAGTGAGTCTCAAGTAAGTGATTAAGAGGCTTTAAATTAAAAAAGATTTTTCTGTTCACTTTAATGGGAGCTTCAAATACAGATAGAGGTCCCTGAAGTTGACCTGTGTGACTATTCTTCTCTCTCCCCTCTGACCAAAACTGCTCTGAAAAGTAGGTCACAGAGAGTAGAGGCCACAGTTTCAAAAGGTGAATGCCTAGAGCTATGTATATACAGCTATTTTCATGCACTTTTAACTGGGTGGCCTGATTTTGAGAAGTACTGAGTATGCACTGCTCCAGCAATGTACATGCTCCATAACTTCCAAAAAAGAAACCCTGACTACCTGCTTTGGTGTTGAAGTGTTAACACATATTTTTTAATTTCTACTCAACAACAGATCCACAATTTCTGTTAAAACAATACCTACACAGCTTGTTAGGCACCAGACACTTTCTGTATCAGAGTATGTGCACATATATCTGGAAAAGAGGTTCCTGCCCAAAACAATGGGGCATCTAAAGGGAAGAGAAAGGCAGATGAGTGTCAAGAAAAGAAAGAGACGCACCGGGGTGACACACTGTGCCAACGTCAGGCAGCAAGTCAGAACCAGCACCAAGCAGAAAACCCTGAGCCCCAAATCAAGTGCTTTACCCATTACATCATGCTGAGCCTCTCTCCTAGTAATAAAAATACATGCAGCTGTTCAAGGAGTATTTCTAAGACAGACAGAATCTGATAAAAACAAATCCAGGGAATAGAGAAGGATGCCGTCATCTGTTCTGTAATATCCCCCAAAATCAGAAAGGAGCACACACAGCAGCATCTCATATAATAGTAAACAATCAAATATGAATTATTTTGATTACATGCCAAGATGAAAATATCACAACTAAAGGGGTTTATCCTGTTTTGAGTGTCCTAAGAAAATAGCTCCTGTACTTCAAAGAAGACTGTTAGGAGAGAGAAATTCAGGAGCTGCAGCTTGGTTCATGCAGGAGTTTCTAGGAGAACTCCACAAAGTCTAGTGTCTGTATAAATTTTAGATTTAGAGTTAAATATAAGAATCTAAGAAGAGTAGGATTTTTAAATCATGGTGGGAGGGAAAGCCAGGAGCAAGCGGTATAAAAGAAATGAATTCTAGGGTCTGGAATATCTGAAGTTCAAACATTATCTGAGGAACCGGTACACCACTTGAGACAGCAAAGGAATCTGAGCAGCATGTGGGAACACTAACTAGGTAGAGTACCGAGTGAGTAGCATGTTGCTTCTCATCTTTAAACAAAAAAATGTAATATAAAAAGGTTAGTGCCTAGTCACAGTGATTATCTATTAACATCTTAAGCATAATTTTGTGTCAGATTTTGAAATTCAAAGATGTAGGATCACAGCTTTTCAACAAACCATCAGATAGTTTAGTTATTTTTCATTAGGTTAGAACTTAAAAAAGGCTGACACAGTTCCAACCGTACAGTACCCTGTTAAAAATGAAATTTCCATTAAATAATGCTCCTAATCTTTCACCAAACATCACAGAATCTGATCTAGAGCACTTTTATTTAAGAAGGAAGTCTTCACAGATAAGTAAACAAAGCAATACAGTTGCTGAGAGAACTCAACTGCTACATCAAAAAAAAAATCTCTTCAGTGTTTTATTTCAGTATCGACCTGCCAGCTATGTAGGACACTAGCTGGGAATGCAACCTTTATTTTTTCAAATCTCTTTTTAAAAAGACTCAGAAGTACAGGTTTCAGAAGGACTAGTTCTTTTAGAGCTTGCACTCAAAATAACAGAGAACAGGAAAAGGAAGAAGTCAGTGCTGGCCAGACTATTGATTCCAAAATAGAATCCATAATATCAATGTTCAAATATCTCCTAAAACTTTTCCCCCCTCCTTCCCCTCCCCTCAACAAGAAGAGAGTCTCACCTCCTTCCAAGAGAGATATCACTATCTATACTGAATAAAGCAATCTGTGCAAATCACCTCAGCACTGCTAGCTGCATGCCAGCACACTGGACTCAAGGTGAACCCTGGAGCAGGTTGCTCAAAGAGGTTATGCAGTGTCCATCTGTGGAGATACACAAAAACCCAACTGGAGATGGACCTGAAGAGCCTGCTCTAGAGGTTCCTCCTTTGAGCAGGGAGTTGGACTATATATACTCAAGAGCATTTTTCCAGCCTCAGTGATTCTGCAAGTCTGCGAGCCTCTAATTTCCACAAGGACTGAGTGGTTACTGTGTCAGGTTAGGATATGAAAAGCCCAGGTTCAATCCTGTCCTTTCCCTCAGACTCTGCTCTAGTTACTAGTACAACTCTGCCCTAGTTACCTGTTCTCTTCCACCTCAGTTCCTTTAGTGGCCATAGACTGTGACAGCAGAGAAAAGGATCATGCAACAAAGTGTCTGTGCAACCCATTCTCAGGAGGTTGGATCAAAGTACTTATCACTCTGACACTTGACTCAATAAAGAGCTACTGGACTTTCAGAAAGCTTAACAATGTCCACATGCCCATTTTAGGCCCTTAAAATAGGGATTCCCTTTTTCAGGAAGCATGGAGAATTCTCTGTCAAAAGGGCAGTAATTTGGACATCTGAATTATAATTAAATTCAAAATCAATCTATTTACAGAACATGTTTATAGAACACAGTCACCTCAGCAACATCTGCCATTTTCAAAGGCGCAGGCTGCACAGAGGGAGGAGGGTTCAGCAGTGAGCAAACTGGAGTCAGCAGAGCATGCAGTCACCCTCTCCTTAACCCAGTGGGTGCGAATCTTTACTTATACAGTTCTTGTAAGGTCTACAGAGTTGAAATAAAGTGTAAACTGAGTATCATAAATAAAGACTATACTTCATTTATAGTTACTTTAAAATATAATTCAAATAGAGGCAATAATCACTGAAATCCAAAACTGGTCTGTAAATAAACTGTAAATAAACACTGAATTTTCTTTTGAAAGACTTCGAATGGCATAAGGTTTCTCTTTACATATATACTCAACCCTCCTGAGTTTACAGCACTCCTTTGGAAGACATAATACCTTGCACTGAACTTAACCCATCACATCAATTTTGTATCCTGTGATAAACCGGGCTCTCTAGTTACAGCTAAAGAGTAAGATATCGTTTTCTTGGTAGTTACTTCCATATTGAAATTCCAGAACTGAAAAGATGTGGCTCCTAAAAGCTCCTGCTATTCACAAACGTATTATTTCTTGTTTGAGTTTTCTCATGGCCTTGGGATAGGACATGACAGCTGCAACAGAGAAAACATAACTTAGCAGGTGAAAACAAGGAAGGGGGAAAAACCTACAACACTGCCTAGAGCAGTGTAACTTTTCTCTCACTGCAGATCGTCATGTGCAGGAATCTACTTAGGCAAGAAAGAGAAGTTAGACAATTATTCAGCTCTCCTGAGATTTCCCCTGCTAAATACAAAGTTGGTTCAAGGTCTTTGTCATGATATTTCTGATTATGAGACAGAAATAAGATGAGACTGGGAAGGAAAGTGCTGGGTGGAGGGGGACACAGGGTCAGGGGAAATATGGTCGCCAAACACACTGCAGCAGCCAGGTAAATCTTTTCCTTACCTCATTCCTCAACTTTATTAACAACTTCTCTTTAAATTATTAGTTTTAACTGAATATGAATTTCCTTTTCCTTTTTTCTCCTTAAGCATTTATTTCTTTTCCTCAACAGTTTGACCAGAGGAGGCTGAACTATGCGGAAGACAAAGCACTTGGAAAAATTGGAAGGTCTCCCAAACATATTGTTCTCATAGAGATAACAATAGTACTGATAAAAATTTTAGAAAAAAAAGAACAAAACCAAATCCTACTGAATCTCTCTGCTGCTAGAACAAAATCCCAACCCCTTTCTCAGAGCACAAATTTCCCTCAGCACCTCTCTCCCGCTTACAAACAGTAATAACCACTCCAAAACAAAATCCTTCTAAACTAACTGAGCATTTTCTCCTAAAGAAATTCCATAAGACAAGGGAAAGTGCTGTGAATTATTAGTCTTGTTTTTGCATAAAGACACTGCCAGTGTTTTTATGAGCCAGGCAGGTTACATACAAACAATATGTCTATAAATCCACAACTACAAAAATACACATTGAAAAGCTTCTTATCTGCCCATCAAGACAGTGATAACAAAATCTCAGTGTTATATCCAATAATACCCTATTAGAACAACTCATCAGAGCAACCCAATTTCCCCCAAATATAGTCATCTAACATATGAAACAATTACTTCAGAGCTATTCTAGACTTAAATTCAAAAGCCAATTAATGTTTCAAGAACATGACAGCAACGGAAGTAGAAAAGGAACGAAAGACTAACTAACCCAGCAGTTAAATGGTTAAAATGATAAGATAATAGAATTATTCAGGTTGAAGAAGTATGACTTCTAAACATGGGAATACAATTCAAATGATGCCAACTAAAGGCAATAGTTTATGTCAGGTAACAAGCCAGCACCAAAAGTACATTTATGTTCCTCCTAGCAAATAGCTTTTGCAATAGGCTTCCAGTGCTTCTGAAAGACCTCAGCTCTATTTACAATCCAATTTCTTTTGGACCTTTCCAAAAACAATTTTTCTTTTTCTCCCTCAAGTTCAGGCCTCAGGATTCTTATTACAAACTGCGGAGTTTGTACAGTCATTTCAATTTACCAGCACACACACAATGTTTTCCAGAAGATTTCTGGGAGTGCTCACTGTGGTAAATATGCTCCCCATTAAATCCACATCGTATTTTTAACCAGATGCAAAACTCCTTTGTGTATATGGAAAAAGAAGAGCACAGGATTCCAGAGGGCAATCCTGTGACAGAGGAATGCCTCAGTGTTTGTGCTCCCATGGAGAGACAGAACACAAGGGGCCAAAAACCACTACTTCAAAATTCACATCCAGCCTCCAGAAGCAAGCTGCTTCCTTCTCTACCCACAATAAGAGCCTTTAGGGAGAGCAGGTATTGGCCTACCTTGCATATATGCCTCTATTTGCCGAATTAGCTCGTAAGACTTGGATCGGTCCAGAAGTGTACGAATAGCCGGGAGAGGGTCCAGGATAATGGTTTCTGGATGAGCATCAATATACTCCTGCAAAACAATATATATTAAAAAAAAAAAAGAAAAAAGCATTAGGTTTGCTGGTAAGTGTGGAAAAATAATGAGATGAAGTCCAGCTTCTCCTCAAGGGGAGCCAAACGGATATAGGCAACATGGGAAGTCACCAGACAGTCAGGACACTGACATTTGAAACAAACACAGATATGACAGCTAACTAGTTTAGGATGACAAATGTCTTCTGTAGACTATCAGCAGAAAAACCTGTGCTGCAACTACATCAACTCAAAAGGGAGCCAGTGGCAAAGTGCCACAGTAAGAGCTGTGAGCAGCATTGAGAAAAGCAATTAGGAGAAGAAGGATGACACATTGCTATTCTGGGGTCAGCCTTGCATTGGATTACTGCACGTGAACATCACAACCATCTGAACTAGGCTCAGAACTACATCTGGGTTCTTTTATGTTGTTGTTATTGCTGTCCTCTAGCTGCACTGAAGACAGTGTTAAGAGCTGGATGATAAGGGCTGAAATTTTTTTTGGCAGAGCCGAAGAGATTGTTGCTTCACTGTGTCTTCATTCTTGCTACTTCTCTAAGTTCATACTCTCCTTTCCTGACTAAAAGAACAATGCAATGTTAATGACCTCATGGATCTTCATCTTGGGAACTCAATTCCCTATTCACTGAGGTCATGACTGCACTACTGCATCTTGGCCACGAACACAGACACAGCTGCCAGGTATTGGCCTTGCAATCCCAACAAAACTTCTGTTTCTTAGAAGAGAAACAGAGTTCCTTCATCATTGACCCAACTCGGTCCCATAAAGTCAACGGGAAACACACACATCAATCTTATCCTATTAAAAATCAGACAAATATGTGCAAAGTTACCATCTATTCTTGTTTTACCCAACTTCCCAAATCCATCCTTATATTTTCACTCATTTCTTTAAATCCATTTATGCAAATGGCACGGTAAGTGCTCCTGCAATAATGGACTTTCATGAAGGTCTACTTCATTTAAATTGACTATTTCAAGAAGGAAACATACTCCAAAACATACTTAGGAGTATGAGGAGGTGACCTCAGGAGATGCACTTCACTATATACTGAGCTGGAGGGAAAAGAACAGCATCATCTATTCCCAGAAAGCAATTTTGCTCCAGACACAGATTGGGAATGCAGGTTTTCCCCCACCCCAGCACTGGCAAACTGTTGCTTTCTGCTGACTACATAGTCTGAACTGATGGCTGCTAAAAGGGGATTATTCTTTTGAGGCTAAGAGGATCCAGCATTGGGATGATTGGTTTAATGAACCCACTGCATCACAGAACACAAGCAGCTTTCTTTCATAGGGCATGAGGCAACCTTCAGTGCTAATACTTTTGTCTGACATATTTAATAATCCCTGCAGAACGCAAAGAATGAATTCCCCAAACTTGATGCCATTTAGTAGAAGTAAGGGACAGCCTTTTGCACAGTCAGTCATCCAGACTGTCAGACCCAGCTGTTGTCTCACCCTTGCAGCCCAGCCTGGATAAAAATCCTCACTGACTCACTGGAGCAGAAGCTGGGTTCATTTCAAGTCATTAAAACCCGGAATGTAGAGTTTTCATGGGTGTCCTGCCCCTAGAACTTCCAGAGTCAGCTTTAAATACAGATGAGTTTTTTTTTTTTTAAGAGTGAGAGTGTCTCATTATCTAATGCATCTTAAACACCTACACATACATACCCTTTAATGCAGCACCTAAAAGACACCCTGTGGAGTTAGCATGATCCAGCGATTAGGGCCTTAGCTTAAACTTGCTGACTGTGAAACTGTACTTGAGTATCTCAATATATGGGAGCCCCCGGTGGTCCAGGGGAAAATTCACTGCACTGTCACTGCAGAGGCCCGGGTTCGATTCCCGGTCGGGGCCCCTCCCCGGGCAGATGGAGCTCGTTAGCCCTGTAAGGCAATTCATCTACGTCCTGAGGACCTCGCTGCCACCGTCCAAGCGTGCTTGGCCCCGGCAGATGAACCTCAGGATTAAAGGGTGGGCTCAGTTCCGTGCACACTGTGTCTCACCTAAAAAATCCAATGCGCAGGCTGGAAGGTGGAAAGACCTTCCCCGGTTCTTCGTTCGCGAAGAGACTGGCCATTCATTCATCTCAATATATCTAAAGCATAACAAGACAGCTCTTTCAGCCCTTCTATGCCTCAGTTTAAAACAGGGAGTTACCACAGAGTGCACCTTCATGAGCTCACTGAGAGAATGAGCACATTACGGACAGGCAATACCATGGTGGTTGTGCAGGTAAGGACAGAGCCTGGCCTGGTCACAGCTCTGAAATGTCACCTCAGCAGAGATCCCACAGCAAATGTCCTACAGTGCTTCAGATGTGTGTTCACTCTTCCTGTGACCACCCCTCCGCCTCGACAAGTCTCTGGTTCCACCTTGAATTCAAGCTCCCCACACATCCATCTTAGTCCAGCCCCTGTTCTGTACCCACTAATCCATCCCCTCACATGTACATTTGTCATGCTTGTGGACTCTGTCACCTTTACTCCCTTCCAAGGAGGGAATGATTTTTCCCCTCTCTTAGCTCCTTATGCTCATTCACAAATCTTCTGATGCTCACCTCATCACTGAGAACTATCCTCGCTTCTCTGGGATCAGTGTATTCCACTTGTTATTTTGGCTCACATTACACTAAGTATTTCCAGAGGGAGCATGGCTTCTTTATGCTTTCTGTAAGGAACTTCACAGCTGCTTTATTTCTAATGACAATAACTCTAACCTGTATGAAAAGATCATCCAAGCAGTGAGCTTGACACAGCATTACGAAGTTCAACAGGAATGAAGGCACGATCTCAAGGCCATTCTACTCAGATCTCAACAGAACACAGCATCTAAACTGACTTTCCAGTGACTGATTTCTTATCCTGTTGTCTTAAGAAGCCTTCAAAAAGCTCTGTAAGGCAAACATGAAATAACTGATGAAGATGGGGACTATTTTCCAAAAGCCAGTTAAAGTCTGGAGGACTTAAACTACTCTAATGTCAAGAACTGCACTGAATGCAAGGCAACAGCACCTTCAAATACACACAAAGGAACCTGAACATGAGCTTTCTTTATAAAACAAGGACATTTCTGAGCATCAAATCCATGTCAGGTACTATTCTCCAGCTTTTCTCCATTTGCATGCTTAGGCACTCTGACAGCCAGAGGGCACAGGAATGGCAAAAATCAAGAGACTGTCAGCAGGGCAGTGAAGATCTGTGTCATCTGAGTAAAGGAAAGGACTCGGACTTGAAGTGTCTCACAGAGCTAATCTGGGGACAGGCTACAGATCTCTCCTTCTAACTGAATCCAGAAACAGCTCCCCCTTTGAAGCAAAGGACTCCCAATGCAGAACAAGGTCAATCTATTTGTGTATGTCCTTTCTAGCTGAACACAGCTAGAGGTTAACTGCTCAGGGGCAGGAACATCAGGATGTACTCAAGTCCTCTAACTTCGCATCTCTTCTCACATGCCATTAGTTTCTTGGATTTCCATCACAAAGCATTAACTCTGCATTCAAAAACAAAACCATCCAGTTGCACCAGGATCCCCAAAGCAAATCATCCAGCTTCCCCTTGGGCCAGTACGCTGCCAGCACTTTCCCAGTCTCCCACACCTCTCACCAGTATATCACCAGCACATGCAAAAGAAAGAGTTTGAATACTCGTGTACAGAAAATTAGTTAAAATAAAATCTGAACCTTACACCAATTCCTCACAACAGGAAATTACAATATGAAAAATCGATTTTCTTAGTTTCACAGGAACAATTACGATAGCTGATGTGAAACCTTTCATAAACTTTGATTCTTTACTAGGAACTGCTGCACACTCAGGCATCAAGTTCTACTGAATATGTACCTGTGAACATCACTTAACAGACTGGAAAACTATTGATGTAGCCTAAGTAGCAGCACTCTTCCCATGGCACAGAATGACTCCACCATTAGAAATACAGATCTGGAAAAACATGAAGGGTTTCTGTCTAATAATTTTGGTAACAGATGAACTACTATAGATATGGACTTGAAAATGGAGCAGTTGAAGAAGAAAAAGAGAAACCCTGAGGTCGAGAGAGAGCTTTCAGTACAGCACAACCTTTCAACTTTGAACGTTCAAATCTTCTCTGGTCCTTGTAACAAAACAACTCTGCTCTCTTCTTTGGTGGATTTACTGGAGACTGGTATCCAACAGCAGATTCCAACCACCCAGGCAACAATGTGAAGGATATTTAGGCTTTCCAACAATAGTTTGAAAGGGCTCTGTCCTTGGGCTGCAGTTCAGCTTGACCTAGACAATGTCTATGTTTTCCTCTTTCTAATCTTCGACATAATAAAAGCAAACAAGAAAAAATAAGGACTTTTAACAGATCCTCTTTTGTTTGTATTCCAGGCTTGGCGTTAAGTCATGCTCTGTACCAGCCCTGTTACTGGCAGAAGGCCAGGACTGAAACTTGAAATCAAAGAGAGACCAAATATTTCATGTTGCCTAATAAATACCTCTGGATATAAAGAGAGATTAAAAAAAAAATAAACTTTTCTTGAGAAGCCTGTGTATAGATGAAAATAAGAGTTGCTTATCATTTTACCCAAAAAAGGTAGCTTATGATTTTTTTTTTATTTTAACAGAAAGTTCATACAGTATCTACTGCAAATAATAAGTCATTAGATGATAAGAGAGACTCACCGATTCACTGACTTGATTTTATGACTAAGTAATAAAACTTACATAATCTTTTGTTTAATATTAAACAAAGTCCCATAAAACAAATATTCCAAAAGAAAAAAAAAGTTAGCAAAAGAAACAATAACACCATTTGGATTGTGTTTTCCCACATACAGAAACATAAAGATGACTGCTCGCAACAACAGGCCAGACATTTTCCTGGGGAGAAACAGATATAAGGACAGACACAAGCTTGCCTAAAGAGTTTGCACAGGATTCAAGCTTCTTTTTTGTTTTTCTTAGGTTGTGATGATCTCTTTTCATAGACATCTTTCTCCAAAGGGAAAGGTGTAGCCATGTTGGGTCTTCAACGAACACTCATCTCAAAATTGTTTGTCTCCAAATCTAAAAGAAACTTCTGCAATGGCTGGGAGGGATGAAGGGTGCGGCAAGGGGAGAGGGGAACAGACCTTCCCTGTTACATTTCCATTCTCTGTACATCTCAGAGCAACTTTTTGAAGACTCACCTGTCCTGTTTAGCCTTCAAAAGTCCACCACTACTTGACCTTGCAAACACCTGCCCAGAGGAAGCTGTCCTGACAGTTGGCACTTGCATGACAGATTTTTAGTAAATTTTGCTACTTATGAGGTTCTTCCAACAAATTTAAGACCCATTTTTCAAATGGGAAAAAGACAGGTATTGGCCTATGAATTCAGGCGCAAATAGATCATTTCAACTTTGTCTCACCCTGTCCTATCAGTAAGAAAAAAATTACTAAGATGTACTAGTTTCCTTTGATTTCTCACTTGCCTTTTCTCAGCTGAGCAATTCCCTAATCCCTTCCCTTCCATAATATCCCACTAACTTTCCTTCCTCCCAGTCCCAAACCCTTCTAAGAAAGCTTCTCAATCAATAATAGAAGAGCCCATCCTGGACAACTCCCGAGTGGGAGAGTCAAGGGTTGAAGGGCAGTAGGGGACGAAACGTTTTTAATTTTCATCAACCTGATAGCAGAAGACTAGCCATAAAATCTGCTTCTGGTCCATCTTTTTAAGAAGGCTAATGCAAAGAGAACCTGTTCAGAAAAAGCTCTGAGAGACAAATTATTAACCCAACCCTACTGATTTTCCATCACTTGAGACATCATATTGAATGGATCAGACTAATATGAAGCTGCAGCGAATGAAGTTACTCAAGCCCCTGCACAGCTATGACAGGCAGCTGCTCAGAGAGTATTTTGCTCTAATGAAAGAATAACAAAGATTCCCCAGTGTCTTACACAAGCTAAAACATACTCAGTTTTTAAGTCATATAATTTGTCTAGAAGAAAGGAACAGGGGTAGTTTGGTTTTCTTTCTTAACAAGAAGGAAGAAACTGTAGTACCAGTAAGTGAAAGGCACCCTGGGGACTATGCCTCTTCCCACCTGACTTCCCTCCATGTTCCTCTGGTCAAGAAGAAACCACCAAAGACTATAACCAATTTTTACTAGACAAAAAAATAAACTGTGTTCAATTGGTCCAGCCCAGTGTTACAGTGGGTAGGAAGGGAGACTGACCATCATATCTATATACAATCATCATCCCTAAAACAAGGATCTAAGTGTCCTAAAAATCAAATGGAAAGATTTCTCTACTTTTCACTTAATGCACTACACTAGGTACTATATGCAGCCTTTGTTTTGGCTTCGGATAAGATCACTAGGCACTCATCACTGATTTTCAGTGCAGTGGAGAACAGTTTGCACCCACAAACTGCAGTCCAGACCACATCCAACCAGCACCAAGACTTCAAAACTCAGCCCTAAAGGTCTTCTGCAGCTAAAAATTCCATTGCCAACAGGCAACTCCTCCATGCTGTTCGTGCTGTTTTCAGTCTCCTGAAAAGATTTTTTTTTCAAGTCATTAAATGGCTAGAAAAAAACACACCATGCTAAGAGGTTTCCTGTTCTATTAGCACTCTCCACCAGACCATACAAGGGTTCATCCCAGGTTCCAGAGAGCAGGAACACAGAGTCATGTAAATGTGAAGCCAGTTTCCTCCTCAGCTCTTGCAGATTAGATGGTCAAGGCCTCTACTACACAGCTCTAAAAAAAAGCTATTCTTAAAAAGGTCATAAATGTAGCCTGACAGATCATTCCTCCTCCTGTGGTCAAGGATCCCTTGCTCTCTGCTTCCTGGAAGACTGCTTTACGGAGCCAACAGTAAGACTGGTGCCAGGTATCATCTTGGTGTTACATTTATATTCAATAGCGGGAAAAAAAGCATAATGAATTTTGCACTGTTTGGTCTGGTTAAGATCATCAGAACTTTTTCAGTCAACCTAATGAACAATAAGGGAAACACACTATTTCAGCTTGTGTGTAGGTGCCAGAAATAGCACAGTGCTTATGTAACACCTCATACATACAAGCAGCTCTCTTTGCAAGGGGTAACTTTCCACTTTCTAGGCTGCTCATTGATTTTAGCTTAAAAACCCCAAAACAACAGCCCCACCCCACACACTATACAAATGGATTCTCATGATTTCTTTTTATTAGGTAATACACTTCTCTTAATTTCTAATATTTTTTAATATCTTGAAAGTAATACAGGACAGGTGGAGACAAGCAGCAATTTCTAGCCAGTTTATGGCCTGGATACAAAATTATATGGGAATATATGCTAAAAACACATTTTTGCATGTAATTCAATGCAGATAGGCCTATCTTCTGCTCTGATGGTTCCTGGGTGCATGGTTTACTACCATGGGAGTTGCCTGCATGCCAGTTGTGGCACAACTCAGTCACATGTGCAGAAGCAGAAGCCCCAGACTTGCTTTATTCGGGAGAAGATATAATTCAGAAGCCTTCTCACAGGTATTCCTACCCTCTGTCTTATTCACTGGAAAAGTTTGGAACGCACTGGGAGAGAATCTCTTTCTAATGAATGAGTTTTGAAAATACTGGGAGATTATAATTTCAGACCCACAGTGAGAAATATGTGTATTCCAGTAATGGGAAACTACTTTCTTGTTCAACTGCATGGCTGTGGACAAGTCATGCACTGGGCTATGCTGAAGAACATTCGAAAGAAGATCATCAGCCATCGGTGTATTCTAACTTAGCCTGTAAATTGATGTTATCGCAGATATTACAAATTCATATTAGAGCTCAAAACAGAAACAAACAACCATCAAGTCCTCATGAGTTCTTATGAGTCTTAATCAGCTAACACATGCACTCTTTAGACTCTCTGATCATCAGTTTTTCCCATTGGTAAGATGGGAAATTAGTTAATATTTGAAACGTGGAAAGACTCCAAGCAGAAAGCCCCTTAAGTCCATCTCCCTGTCCCTTTAAACATTTATTAGTTTCTAGTGCTGTGGGAAGTGGATGCCTGCACTGCTTAGTGAGGAACAGTCAGTCATCTACTATTCAGAGAACTGGTGCCAGAGGGTCAGACTCCCAAGTCAAAACTTTTCATCTCCTGTGTGTGTGTTTGAGTAATATGCAGGTGGGAGGAAGCAGAAAAGCTCTGCAAAAAGAATATTAACTCAGATAAGCGAAATACTTTCTGCATTACTAGTTGTAAAACATTAAGCAGAGCAAAGAGAATATCATTTCTCAAGAAACCAAAGTTGTCAAAATTGCAGAATTTGCCTGACATAAGCATATTCCATAAAATTCTGAATCTTTTTTCAAACTGTGTTTCTATTTGAATGAGAAGAAAAGAATACACCTTTTATCAAATATAGCCACCAGAAGAAACACCTTTTAAATTTATAAAGGTGTTGCTTTATCATTTTCATCAGTATTTAAACTACTGATGGGAATTCTTTGGGAAAACAGTTCTCTGTAGCACTATGCCCTGCATATTTCTGACCTTCAATGTAAACTTGAGAAAAAAAAATTAATATAACAGGAATCTCAGCACTAGAGGACAGAGTCACACAGTAACCTCAATGCTACAGAAATTAGCATTCCAGGAACTAGGAAGACTAGATAGAACTGGGCCAAATTAATTCAGTGGCTTCTGTCATGGAGAGATGCATGTAAAGGGCTCTGCAAACACCTGTTCCTCCTTGTGAGCAGCATTAATGCTCTTGAAATGACTTCGGGACAACATTTGGTGGGAAACCAGTTCTTACTAACCTTACCAATACAACATAAAACCTTTCCAAGGTGCAAGTCCATTTTAGACTGACAAAACTATTACTTCTGGTCTATCAATAGGAGGGGAGCAGTGTGCCAGAGAGCTCTTTTCATCAAACCCCTACCAACTGCACAGTAAACAGACTGAATTTGCTGCACCAAGATCATCCTCCTGCTTCAAATGCAGAAAGACCACGAAATAACCACTTACCTGGAACCTGTGAACCAACTCCAGTGACTGGCTGTCATTCTGGTCTGCTTCAAGGATGACATCTGTCAGTTTATGTATGATCACATCCAAAGGCCCCTGATCTTCAATGGGTTTGGTGAGGTCAAGCTGAAGAAACCAGAGAGAAACCTTTTATTAATATATGGAGATTCTTGTCCCTGTCACAATCCAAGGTGTTGCTGCCACAGGGAAGGCATTTACTTTATACAATGCCTTTATTTTGCTGTTATTGAAATCCCTGAGAACTTACACTTCATTGAATGTTAGAGACATGCATTTCTCAGCAACGTAGCTCTAATTCCATGACTTACAGGCAAACACTCTCCATCCAAACACCTTCCTATGCTTCTCCACCCCGAGCCAACATTTCCCCCTCCAGTTTCTCAGTACATTCACATACATGCAAAAGGAATGAGCCAACAGATATTAACGCCACTAATAAAAGGAATGCCTACTGTGCCCTTCGCCCTCTGGGATTGCACAAAACAGTGCCCAGGACAGGAATACAGGTAACACAACCTAAGTGACTCAGGATCTGTGCAAATTCATCTGCTACAAGGACAGCTGTTTAGCTGGTAAGAAGGGGTGCAGTTCCCAGAGAACTCCCAATAGCGGACTTGGGGTAGGATACAAAGATTCAGGGTGGGGTGTGCAGAAACTGCTCCAGACAGCACAGGAAGACAGAAAGTGATGGCAATGTGTCATAGGGCTTGGTCCCCTGTCTTGGAAGACAGGGTTCAAGAAGCAGAGGATCCTCCGGTACTGGAAAAGGACTGAAGAAATTCCTCTTGAGGAAATATTAATGCAAAGAAAGCTACTGGACTTGATGGGATGCAAGAATACTAAGAGAGCTGGCCAATGTCATTGTAAGGGTTTGGATTTATCAGGATATTAATCAAAACTATGGAGATTCCAAATAAATCAGGAAAAAAAAACAGCACAGGGGCAGTCTAGTTACAGTACAGAGTCCCACAAAGGCTGCAGGATCTTCATCCTTCAAGGTTTTCAACACCTGACTGGGCAAAGCCCTAAGCAACTTAGTCTAAATTTAATGCCAAATCTGCTTTGATGAAGATGATGTATTACAGACCCCTAAGATCACCACCAAACTTAATGATCCCATGAAGCTACTTAGCAGATTTAACATCAGTACAGTGCAAGTGCCAGACTTGGCTCATATTCTGGCCAGTACACTGGGCTGCTCACAACACAGAAGCTGCACTTCAACCAACTGTGAGATCTACTGCATCAGTGGCAACTTAACCTTGTAAACTTCAAACAAGGAACATTTTTGAGAGGAAAGACAGATGTGTGCTTACTAAACTAAAGTTAGCATCTGATTTTATAGTTACATGCATGCTCCTTTCCATTGCTGCTATCCCTTTTATTCAGCTCTGGCAAAGAAGGGGGTTGGAAGCACAGGAGGGAGAGGAGTGCTGGGCAAGAGAATCTGCTCTTGCTCTGTTTTCTGCCTCATTAGCTTGAATTTAGTCTTATTAAAATTTCCCACCCTACAGAAAAGGCCTTGATTTGAATTAAGGAGCGAGTGCCTTAAGGAAGGTAATGATAAGACAGGATAGAACCAATAAAATGAAACCAGCAGAGATCTATGAGCCTTATATTAATATGCCAGCTGCTAATGTAACTGACCCATTGAGCTGAATTGCTTTCCTGCTCTTATCTGGGCCAGGCTTACCTGAGGAGAATAACTGAAATTACTTATGCCACAAAAGCAAACTGAAAGACTGCCAGTTCCTCCCACAGAGACCACCGTTGCTTGCCCATTACTACATGGTCCTACTAACAATTTATAAATTGAGACCCTTTGAAGCCATTATGTAGATTCTAATACAACTGTAAAACATCTTGTGTGTCTGTCTTACAAGGAGAATAACAGTGGTTTGCCCAATGGTCACAGGTGGGCAGCAGACTCCCTACATGCCATGGTAAGGATGACAGGATGGACTGCATGTGGATGCTCAGGGATGGTAAACTATGAGCTGAGGCAATCCACAGAAGGTCTGGCTGTCCTGGCACTTATGTTTTCACTCTTATAAGTAGTGCAGCACAAAGGCTGAGGGAAAGACTGTTTCTGCAAAATTAAGGCAAAATGAAGTAAACTGCAGCTTGGCTAAGGACACAGAAGAAGATAATTAAGTTCTGCAACCAAGCTCCAGAAAAATCAGCTAATATCCTTAAAAGAAATCTCAGATGGCCACACTGCTTTTTCTGATTTTTTTCCATCTGCCTATCACATCTGGAAGGAAACAGCAAAACAAAGGGTCCATTTAACTAGGTCAGAAAGTTCCCAGTTGCCAAGGTACAAAAATGTGAATTAATCCAGTTTTGGGACTTCCAGTTTGAGAAACAGTGAGAAGCAAATAAATATCTGAGATTGGTTACCCTTTTACATTATTCCTGCACTTGCAGCTCAATCTACACAGAAACATTCAGAAAACAAGAAAACAGTCCTCCCTTTCAGCCTTGACCCAAGAATAAAAGTAAGCCTTCAAGGCATATCCAGCATAGTGTTTTCCAGAAGCATAAGACATCTGGGCACGATAACTTGTTCACAACAGTTGTGCCAGCTAAACGCAACTGGCATATTTTGAGAATGAAACCAAATGCGCCTACTTTGCACATCGGAAAGCTTTAAAAAGGCTCCCCCCCATAACAGCGTTTTGCTTCCCCTTCCTCAGGAAGGCAATGCAAGAAATGACAGTATGATAAAGCAGCTTCCCTTGTAGGAAGTTTAATGACCACTTAATTGCCTCAACAAGGACAGCAGGTACATTTCAGCCACAAAAACCTTCAAAATTTTATCCAGTATTTAGTGGATTGGAGGATCAAACCATTTGCAAGAATAAGTTCTCTGTGTTCTGAGCCATGCTGCAGAAAGCAAATATTCCTGGGCTGTGTGGAATTTGGAAGAGATCCACCTTCCTTTTATACACTGAGAAAAAAAAAAGAGTAAAAGTAGAAGGAAAGAAAAGATTTGAGAAGGTAAAAAGAAGCCTTTTCAAGTGGAGTATCAGACCCAAAAAGAAGTCAGTGAAAATAAAGTGCAAAATTTCTGGTGGCTCTCTGCTGAGACAAACACTGATTCATTGTTTGTCACCAGCTGGAATTTGAGCCTTTCTACTTCCCTTCCCTTTCAGCATCTCTCACTCCAAATGATCTTTGCATTTGACATGGATCACCCAAAGGTTTGTTTTTGCAAAGAACTAACACCATAGCAACAGAAGTGAGAGAAAAGATTTATCAGCACCAGCTTGAAAAAACAGAGATATGTCTATGGTGTCTTTTCATCTGTGAGGTAGCCTATAGCCTGCAGCCTACTCTGCTTGCCTTTTTTTGTTAAAAATCCACACCCAGACAGGTATTGGTTTCATGGCCTTGTCACTTACCACCAAAACCCAGCAAAACCCAGGTGAATGACATGGAAGACAGTGTCAAAGCTGTACACAGAACTGCCAGATAAAAGGCATACACATGAGCTGGATGAGCTGGATGGGTGCACTGTTTGCTGAGTAAGAAACTGCCTGGATGGCTGGGCCCAGAGAGTGGTGGTGAATGGAGTTATATCCAGCAGGCAACTGGTCACAACTGGTGTTACCCAGGGCTCAGTGTTGGTGCTGGGTCAGTTTAATGTCTTTATCAATGATAAAGGGATTGAGTGAACCCTCAGGCAGTTTGCAGATCACACCAAGTTGAACGTTGATCTGCTGGAGAGTAGGAAGGCTCTGCAGGAGGATCTGGTCAGGCTGGATTGATGGGACAAGACCAATGGTACGAGGTTCAACAACACGAAGTGCCTGGTCCTGCACTTGGATAACAACCCCCTGCAGTGCTACCGGCTGGAGAAGATTGTCTGGGAAGTGGCCCAGCAGAAAAGGACCTGGGGGTGCTTCTCAACAGCAGCTGAACACGAGCCAGCAGTGTGCCCAGCTGGACAAAAAGGCCAATGGCATCCCAGCTTGTATCAGGAAAAGTGTGGCCAGTAGGACCAGGGCAGTGATTGTCCCTCTGTCCTAGGAACTGGTGAGGCCACATCTCAAATCCTGCATTCATTTTGAGCCTCTCACCACAAGAAAGACCTTGAGGTGCTGGAGCTTGTCCAGAGAAGGGCAGTGGAGCTGGGAAGAGTCTGAAGCACAAGTCTTACGAAGAGCAGCTGAGGGAGCTGGGAGTGTTTAGCCCAGAGAAAAGGAGGCTCAGGGTTGACCATATCACTCTACAACTACCTGAACAGAGGTTGTAGCCAGGTGGGTGCTGATCTCTTCTCCCAAATAACAAATGATAGGAGAAGAGGAAATGGCCTCAAGTTGCTCCAGGGGAGGTTTATATTCAATACTAGGAAAAATATCCTCACCAAAAGGGTTGTCAAGTACTGTAACAGGTTCACCAGGTAAGTAGTGGAGTCACCATTCCTGGAGGTATTTAAAAGACGTGTAGATATGGTACTTACTGACATGGTTTATTGGTGGACTTGGCAGTGCTGTGTTAACAGTTGGACTTGATTTTAAGGGTCTTTTCCATCCTAGATGGTTATATGGTTCTATAGCCTTTCCAGGTCTTTTAAATCCATATATGGAAGAAAACAACCACGAGATAAATGCTCTTATCATAGCTGGCTGCAGCTAGCCTACCCACCTTTCAACAGCAGGACTGGCTGAAAGTTACAAAATGCTGCAAGCTTAGCAACGTCACAGTCCCCCCCACAGGCTTTCCAGAGAATCCACTGGAGAGCAAGTTACAGGCACTAAGAGCTCCATTTCTGCCCTCCTCTCCCCTTCCCCCTTTCTCTGTCCTCCAGGAACACATAGCCAGCACATTATCCAAATCATTAGACAGAAGGGCAAAAAATGTTTATTTCCATTAAGCATAATTTGTTTAAAGTTTTGGGGTTGTTTTTTTCCAGAATGTTGGCAATCCATCTGTATTGCAGGGACAGGGCGAGCGTCTGGCAGAGTGCCATGGCTCTCCACTGGTCCCAACTGCAATCCCACACAAATGCATTTCTGGAAGCCGTGTTTAAAAATAAAACTATGTCCAAGTGAAAAAAATCTGGATTTGTTCACTCAGGAAAAAAAAAAACCAAACCAAAA